TATTCAGCCTGCGTAAGTATAGATAAAGTTTCTGTGATGATCGGACAATGTCCATTTCGGTTAAATCCACGTTTCAAGCATGTCTAGGACATTAACAGGCGATGACTGTTATATATATATATATTGTTACGTTTCTTAATTTACTTTAATATCAGGTTCTAGGCGTAACCAAACAAAAAAAGTGAAGTAAATGAAAGGGAATTAAAATAAATAAAGTAAACCTTTAAGAATTTAATAAATTAATACTAACACAATAAAGAGCCTGTGAGCTGTCACAATAATTGATTCACTATCGAACCTTTTTAAGACACAAATGATACTAAAACATCGAAACATAAAAGAATAAAAATAAAGCACTGGATTATGTTAACACTGCATAAACATATAAAATAACTAACACTAAAATTAACTTATTGAAACAACACTGAATTACTTAAATGTAACTAAGGAAGCACTGATGGACACAGGACATGAATAGGTACTCACATAGATATACCACATTGGTGGCGATCAGGAACAACACATAAATAAAATAAAGTATAAGTAACAGGTGAGGGTGTCACTCAAAAAAACGTGAACGGAATGACAAGAGGACTGGACTGAACTCTGTTCTGCTGGTGGGGTACAATATATATAAGGTTGGCTCCGCCAGTCGACAGCGCCTTGTGAAACATGGATTGGTTTAACGATGCAGATGGTCGTTAGAGAAACAAAAGAATGCTTGTTACAATACTAAATGAAGAAAATAAGATGAGCAGACAAATAATAACAGTTAAAACTAAACAGCACAGGGTAGGTGACTAGAATATATAATAGTAAATATAACACATCATTACAGGAATAATATGGAACAACATGGAAGCATGTTTATAAAAAATAATAGAAAAATACGACACGGTCGTAACAATATATATATACAGTGACCCCTCGTTTAACGAACACCTCGGTTAACATTAATTTCGATTAACGAACTGCCTTCCATAGGATCTTCAATTGGTTAACGAAAAAAAAAATCGGTTAATGAAGTTCTTACGAACAGACCTCAACATGTTTTTAGCTTGCACTGACCGGGCAACCAGCTTTAGTATCAGTCCGCAATACATTAATCGGTTCTAGGGCTTAAATTCTTACTATTTTAGTAAATATCAAGAAGTTTATACTATTCAATAATTTTAAAAAGTTTAATATTCAATTTTTCAGTCATTTTAACAATTATTGAACATAATTGAAGGTAAAGTGACTAGTTTTATCGCGCTGCATCAGCCTCTTAACACAACAAGTTAGTCTCTCTGTTTTCACTGGATAACATCTTGCTTGAGACTCTCTTCAACTAAAAGCTTTTTTCTGTTTCCAAAGCAAATTATTGGTCATTTTGGAAATATATTTTCATATTGACAATATATAATGCAGTGCAGTGTTGATTTAAAAAAAATAATCTTGAATTACACCAAGAGCTAAATTTATGGGTGAAATAGGCCATGGGTGACTTCTCTTCCACCCCAATGCCTTCTCTTCTTCCTTCTCCTCCACCCCATTCTAAATCATCATCATCATCATCCAGGAGCCTTCTACATACACACCTCAAAGTAAGTGAAGTTTTCGACCATTTTGTTGAATTTAGGAAATTTCGGTGAGCTGGAACCATTACCCAAAAACCCATTGAAACAATGGTTTGATTAACGAACTTTAGGTTAACGAGCGACCTTCTGGGCAGTTGAGTTCGTTAGCGGAGGAGTCACTATATATATACAGGTGTCTATCAAAATTCGGCAACGATAAACGGAATCTTCAGTTTTCCGGCATGGTTTAGGGTGCATTTTCAAATATTTCTTTGTTTATTTAATGAAGATATATGTTTTGCTCATAAAATTCATACAAATTACCAGCCAGAATATAATTTACATTGCTGGAATTCTTAAATTTGATGATCATTTTGAATATAAACATCATAGATTTTGCATTAGACATACAAATTTTAGATATAATGTTTACTCTGGTAAATATGTTATCTTTTGTTGCAAAATATATGAAATTTATATTCAAATATTCCCTAGTCTTACAAGGAATCCAGCAATGTTAATTATATTATCTAACAGTCTGAGGTATTATTTATTACTAAGTTAAATAGTTTGGTTTTCCCACACATTTATCTGGTATGGAGGGTTGGTGGTTGGGGGAGGAGGGACCGTCCGACCATGTGGCACGGTGTGAAGAATGTTTTTTTTTTATTAACTGAAGATATTTGTTTTAGCTCATAAAATTCATACAAATTACTCAACCAGAATATAATTTACATTGCTGGAATTCTTACAATATGATGATCATTTTGAATATAAACATCATGGATTTTGCATTTGACATACAAATTTTAGATCTAAAGTACAGTTGTACCCCACTTAACGCGGTCAATTGAACCCAGAGGGTCCCGCGTTAAGTGAAATCCGCTTTAAGTGAACAACAGAACATATGGGATTAATTCCAATAGAAACCGGCCCCACCCCCAAACTCCACTTTTTGAAGGCACATACCTATGTTGTAGTAAAAATAACATCTTAATTTTATGATGGTACATGCACACAATTAATACTTAAGAGAAATAGAGAAATACAGTCGCCAAGTTAATGTCCATTCAAATAATGGACTCAACTCCCTCCCCCTCTCACACTACACAGCCGGCTAACAGATGGTCGGTCGGTCCCTCCCTCCCCCCCCCACCCCCCACCAACCGTCCCAAGGAGATGTGTGGGATAACCTCAAACTAAAGTTAGGAAAATATAATTGACATTGCTGGATTCCTTGTAAGACCAGGAATATTTTGAATATAAATGTCATATATTTTGGACAAAAGATACCATAGTTACCTAGAGAAAAAATTTTATCTAAAAATTGTAAGTTTAAAGCAAAATATATGATGTTTATATTCAAAATGATCACCAAATTATAAGAATTCCAGCAATGTAAATTATATTCTGACCGGGTAATTTGTATGAATTTTATGAGCTAAAACAAATATCTTCAGTTAATAAAAAAAAATAATAATTCTTCACAGGGTAACAGATGGTCGGTTGGTCCCTCCCTCCCCCCCACCCCCCACCAACCGTCCCAAGGAGATGTGTGGGATAACCACTAAATTTTAATAAATAATACCTCAAACTAAAGTTAGGATAATATAATTGACATTGCTGGATTCCTTGTAAGACCAGGAATATTTTGAATATAAATGTCATATATTTTGGACAAAAGATACCATAGTTACCTAGAGAAAAAATTTTATCTAAAAATTGTAAGTTTAAAGCAAAATATATGATGTTTATATTCAAAATGATCACCAAATTATAAGAATTCCAGCAATGTAAATTATATTCTGGCCTGGTAATTTGTATGAATTTTATGAGCTAAAACAGGCAGTCAGGCAGGGTGGCGGGTGGGGCAAATCTAAAAATAGCGTCTCGGACACTCACCGCGTATATGTGGAAAAAATCAGCGTTAAGTGAAAGTTCAGCTTTGGCAAGGCACCGCGTATATGCGAAAACGCGTTAAGTGAAAGCGCGTTAGGCGAGTAGTAAACTGTAATAATTTGGTTTTACACAGAGCAAATATTTTATCTTTTTGGCAAAATATATAAGTTTACATTCAAAATATTCCCTGACCTGCAAGGAATCCAGAAATGTCAATTATATTATCCTAACTTTAGTCTGGTATATTTATTACTAAACATTAAAATCTAGATTTTCACCCAAACATTAATTAGAAGTAGGAGCTAGTGAGCTGGGAAGAGGCAGGGGATGAGTCCATTATTTGAATGGACATTAACCTGGCGACTGTATTTCTCTTAAGTATTAATTGTGTGAGCATACCATCATAAATTTGAATGTTATTTTACTACAACATAGGAATTGTGTGGAAAAGTGGAGTTTGGGGGTCGGGCCGGTCTCTCTATTGGAATTAATCCTATTTTCTGTTGTTCACTTTGTCGTTCACTTTCCACCCTGTGGGTTCAATTGAAATCGGGGTACTACTGTATTTTTTGTAGGAGGAAAGAATCTTGATATATTGGAATTTGAGATACTTCGGCAAGGCCAGAGCCCCATATGTGCTGAGTTATCGAGGGTTTACTGTATTTGTATAATACAGTACATCTTGGGATTTAGATTGTTTATATGAAAATGTAATTTAATATTTTTTCTATTATTGTCATCTGAGTAAAATAATGTTGTGAATTGAATTGTGTCCTAAAATCACCAGGGTTTTAAATATGAATCTTAGTTACTAGAACGTGGTTATTGGAGGCTTTCCTGTACTATGTTTTAATGATATAAATGGCATCACTGTAAAAGCAGGTGTCATATTCTTTGTCCATGGTTGGCTCTTTATTATTGATACAGAAACATAAGAAGTAATTGCAGGCTTAGTGTAAGTTGTGCATCAAAGGGCAAAATACAGTAAATCTTTGTTTTAAATTATGACATTTTATGCTATAATGTTGGGCATCTAAAGCATTGGTTCCATTATTGGTCAGTACAGGTACTGTATAAAGCATTTTGATGAAATATTTCACCCACATTGATAGCTTTAATTTTTTTAGAGTATTTAGAACAATTTCAATTATACTTAGTCACTTTCCCTCAAAATATTGACATTTATTAGCTAATCCCATTTTTATGAAAAAAAATAAAACCCCAAATTCTCCCTCTGATAATAGTTTCTAGGAATTTTAATATTATATTTGATAAATTCATGATTTAAAACAAAATAATAATGTACTAAAATTACACAAAACTGTCGGATTAGAAAGTTCATTTGTTGGAGAAGTGACAGTAAATGGCGACTGCCTAAAATCAAAATATCTGTGAAAGGGTTCCTACATATGCTGGAATAATAGTAACATTCACTTCATAAAGAGGAAATAAAATTCCAGGTAATTATAAAATTTAGTTTCCTCATTTTGTTGTAGGTACAATTAATGGTTAGCGATAATAATTGTTTGCTTCATTCAACAGGTATTACTTAAAGAATGTGAAGGGGATTTCCAGAAGGTGTAGGCACTACTTCCATGATTCAGAAGAAGATGGAGGAGAAAGCATAACTGTCAAGTACCAAGATAGAGGAGTTAATATAGATCAGTGGATATCTGAAGAAATTCATTGTTATGTAACACCAAAGTAAGTACATACTGTATTATTGTGACTTATTTACTGTACAGTACTTAGATATTTTATGACTACAAGTACAACTGTTCACATTTGGTTCATGATTTGTTCAGCTCACTAAATTCCTGTTACAGCCACCTTGCAGGTCTTTTAAAATACTGCCAGATGTGTTAAATCATGTTTTTGTTTAACTAAGCCATTATTGTTGTCTGTCTCCAACAGAATGGGGATATAGTAAATAGCTCTTGGTATATCAATTCCTCCATGAGCTCAGGCATTGTACTGTCTGTGATCGACATCTCACACAGTATTTATTAGATTAATATAAACTTTTCAGCTGTTGAATACATAAGGGACATAAGCACATGACATGGGGATACAGGTTGACAACCCTTTATCCGAAATTAAAAACCGAAAAGCTCTAAAAAGTTTTTTTTTTTTTTTTTTTTTTTTTTATACAGGGATTATTAGCTCAGCCAGGCACAGATCACTGACCTGCATCGGGGCCTGAGGGGCAAAAATGTAATAGTAATAATAATTATAATAATAATAATTACTCATAGTAAATACAATTTTTAATAAAAATACACCAAAATAAAATAACAATGATTACAATAATAATAATAATAATAATAATAATAATAATAATAATAATAATAATAATACTGTAATAATAAAATAATAATAATACAGTAAAGAAATACAAGAATGAAAAAAGATCAAAAGTGAGAAACACGACCTAGACCTATGAATTATTATTATTATTATAATTTTTATTATATTTTCGACCCCCAGGCCCCAATGTGGGTCAGTGATCTATGCCTGGGTGGGCTAATACACATTAAAAAAAAAAAAGAACCTAACCATTCTGAAAACCGAAAAATTCCAAAAACCGAAATGCCTCTGGCCCCAAGGATTTCGGATAAGGGATTGTCAACCTGTAATAAATAATGTGAAAACAATTATGTTTTTTAATACAGTCGACCCTTGTTAATTCGGACCCCTTTAATCCGGATTTCGGATAAATCGGACGAAATCTGAACTGTCCATATCAAATTTCTGGTTCTGGGATTGTCCCAGTTGCAATTGGGGTTTCATTTTCAAATTCTGTGTCACTACTAAGAAATAACAAAGTCCCTGGTGCACTCTAAGTTTAAGAGAAAACGGACGACTCAGGAGTACTGAAGTGAGAGAAAACGGACTCCTATGACGGGGCACTCAAATAAAGAGACATGGCTACATGTTTTGTGGACTAGCCACTGTACAGTATCCTTTTCATCACTTTGTAATAAACCTCGTTATGCCTATGTGTTTCTGATAATTATCATAACATTATATATTTATATATTTAGCGGTTGTACAAACACAAGGCCTCACACATGCCATTCAGACTGTTTTACCAACCATAAAGACAGTTGAAGCTTTAAACGTCACTCACAATGGATCTTAAATATTCCAACTGTAATCAGACATACCTAAGTTGCCTCAACAATTGCAACCCCAGTTGCAATATCAAATTCTGTGTCACTACTAAGATACAACAGTCTCTGGTGCACTCTAAGATTAAGAGAAAACGGACGACTCAGGAGTGCTGAAGTGAGAGAAAACGGACTCCTATGACGGGGCACTCAAATAAACATACACATAGCTGTATAATGCAATATTAACCCCTAAATCGGTTAATTCGGACAATCGGCTAAAACAGACACCCTTCCCCCCCCACCCCCTATTAGTCCGTTTTAACTAGGGTCGACTGTAATTACCTTTTGCTTAGTGGTTTCCATCTCCTGTATGATCATATTTCACATTGGAAGGGGTTTGGGGGGAACACTTTTTCATTTCAATACACTTCCTTGTTTTGTGCCAGAGAACTTTTTTTTTTTTGCATATATGACGGATGTTCATAAAAAAATTTATACGCAGCCAGATGAGAATGATGAGTTTTGCAAAGAGCCAGAACAAGCAGCTGATATTAACACTAAGTTCAAGTCAGATGACTGTGCCAGCAGAGAATGCAGACCAGCAAATTGTACCTTAGAAAATGATAAGGCAAGTCTTCCATGTTTCATTTTAATTTTGAAAATATGTTTTAGTTCATTGTAGAGCGAGTCTGTTGAATAAGAGTAAAAATTAAATAAATTTGTCATTTCTCAATTTCCCAGGCTAGCTATGAGTGTGAGATATGTGGTAAAATGTTTCTGGATTTGCGTAGTTGTCAGTCACACATACGAGGAGTCCACCACGAGGCAAGTCAGATGTGTAAATTTTGTGGAAAAATGTTCAAGAGACGTTGTGACCTTTATCAGCATGAAAGAAGACATAACACTGCTAATCTTCCCTGTAAGGTAAGTTAAATCTAAGTGCTCTACATTATTTTACTGCTGTTTTTATCTTCTTGATCACTTTATAGTCATACTGAATGTCTTAATTATAAAGGGTATCATAGGAAACTGGCTCCCAGTGAAAGTAGGATGTGTACTGGTAATATTGTATTGATTGACCAGTATTTTCATGGATGGGATAGTAAGGGAAGTGAAAACATGTGTATTGAAATATGGTGCAAGTTTGGGATGAAGGTAGGAGGTGAGTCAACTGTACTGTGATAAAAGGATAGCTTGGGATTGAGTGAGTTTTAGGGATGTTATAGCCAAAAGATTGAATATAAAGTAGCAACTGACGAGAGGGAGTCTTGCAGAATGTGATTGGATTTAAATATAATATACATTGCAGTCATAGCCTGAAATAATCTATAATTGAATTTTTTTCAGTTGTGTGGGAAAATTTTTAAGCTACCAAAAGATCTTACAGCTCACATGACGACACATATTGGAGGAAAGCGATTTAATTGTATTCATTGCAATAAGGAACTTACATCTTTTAGAAATTTAAGAAACCACATTGCAAGCATTCATCAGAAGCAACGAGCCTTTGTTTGTCAGATGTGCAGCAAAACATACTCCAAGTCATGTTCATTGCAGGTATGTGTGTGAAAGTTCATTGTTGATACATTGTTTAAAAAGAAAATAACTCAGTGAAGTGCAGTTAGAACTAGTTGAACTTGCTTGTGTAGGTCCATAGTGAAGCTTGTAGTCTTAGCCTCTATGGCCTAGAAAGTTGTAATATTTTCCTTAAATTTCATTCATTAGGCCAAGTTATATACTGTACAGGTAATCCCTGAGATACGATGGGGTTACGTTCTTGAAACCTCATCGCTAGGAGAAATATCCTAAATGGGGAGCATTATAACATGGGGTTCAATGGGATATGTTCCCAGGCAGTCCCCAAACACACATGTATCACTGGCAAAAAATTTCCTACAAAACAAGCAGAGTTGTAAAATACAGTGATATCCCTGTTAGCCGGAACAATTGGTGCAGAGCACTTCCGGTGATGAGAGATTTCCGGCTAACTGGACGACTTTCTCAAACCCGGAAAATCCTCAATCCCCGGAAATATTCCCGGTTACTGGAAAAAAAATTCTGAGTGTCTAAACTATGCATCCTCATAATGTTTCTGTGTGCTGGGGAGTTTTCCAAGAGTCTAAACTAAAAATCTATATGGTATGGTCGTGAATGAAGCTGTGTGTTACAGTAAGGACTGGTATTTTCCACTCCCTTGGAGCTGTGGGGGATTTGTAGGTTTTGTGTAACTGACCTGACCTGACACAATGTCAGGTGGAGGTAGGGTGGGGTATTAGTGATCTCATATTACTGATCTTCAGATACAATGTCAGGTCACCCATTGTCGGGTGGGGGATTAGTGAGTCTGAGGACGTGAAGATGTCTTGAATAAACATGAAAGGCAAAATACAGTATTTTTTATATTTACACTTATCGCATTATATCCCTTCAACATTATGTTACATAAGATTTTAAAGTGTGGAGTGAGAAAGCAGAAAGACATGGGTGATTAGAGAGATGGAGTGGAAAGGAGTGGTAACATGCACCAGTGTTGCCAAGCGCTAAGCTCCTCAACACCTGATCTTTTAATTCACCACCACTTAGTTAACCACTCATAAATTTATGTTATACAATATGGAGGTGTGTGGGTGGTGTTAGGATGTCTGGGTGTGATGTTGTGGTATTAGTTAATAAATAAGCAATATTGTATCGTCAATGACAGTTTTTTTTGATGAATAGTGGTGTACTACTGTATTGTCATTAACAATACAATATTGTTTATTTATTATTCGTTAACTAATACCCCAACACCACATCATACACACACAACATATAGTTTACAGTCTTTTGTTTGAGACACTGAGTTGGACAGAAGCAAGGAGGCTGGCACTCCCCTTTTCACCAATGATGAGCCTCTTATGGTGTATGTTTTATCATGGTTAATACAAAATATTAAACACATCAAGCACAAATTATTATGGTAAACATCTTTATTAATGAATAACTAAAAAACCAAAACAAAGTAAAACATGACAGGCATGGAGAGGAGTAGAGGAGAAGCAGAAACCTTTTTGGGGGGTGTGCGGTCAGTTCCCTCCCTTCCCAAACCTCCAACACAAGAGGACCCGGGAGCATGACTCAATATTTTGTCATTTTTCTATAAATGTTATAGCACAGTTCATATAAGGAACAATAATCATCCCATAAATTGGGAAAACAGTTTAGAAGTGTATAAATCATCATATGGCACAGAAAGACTTCTGGTTGAAGCAAGTTTGATTGGGGAAATGAATTCTATAAACCTTAGTGATGGTCAGTACAAAATTGATTATATGTTACACAAATTTATTTGCAAGTGGCCCAAGGTTAAAATTTGAGGTAGATATATGATAGATGATTAATGGGTCTCATATCTTTGACCTGACTTGAAGTGACTAGTTACATCACCCATTCTTATAAGCTCCTCTTATGTTCGTGAAGGTGGTGGTGTGTGTATTAGTGGATGTCATGTGTTTGACCTGACCTCATGTTTTGTAAGGTCACCCTGTGTACATAAGCCTCTCTAAATCTCAGTCCTTGTAATTCAGTTGCCTCTGAAGATGTCTTAAATAAAGACGAAAGCTACGGTGCTCCATTGTTTCCCTTTTTCCTGTGTGACTTTATCAAGATGTTATAGTACAGTATTTAATATTTTATATTATCAATGATAAAACATTCATCAGAAGTGGCTGATCATACGAGAATATATAATATAATAAATGTTGGAGGTGTATAAAGCTGTATTGGTATTAATAGCTAGGGCCCTTTTATTGACATTTATAAAATACATTAATGAAAAGGAATGGAAATTAGAAATTAATAGATTTATAAATTGTAAGAAGTTGGATGGTCCATCATTATTTTTATTTGTATTTTTTCATAAATACTGTATACGTACGTATATTCAAAAAGTTCCCTGAAAATCTCTTGATTTTATACTGTATTACTCATTAACCCCTACAACCCAGGCTAGGGTGGTGCTGGCCGTACGCTGCACAAGGGATAAAACGGGTAAAACCAATTTTCCCCCCAAAATTTTTAAATTTCATAAATGATAAAAAAAAAAAAACGTAAGATTTTTTTTTTTTTTTTTGTATCATGTTCGCCACTTATCAGCTTACTAGCTGTTTGGGCGGTCTATCCAGTGTTAGTACAGGAGGAAACCATGGACTGGGAAACCTGTGGTGTTTGGTAGTGTCACACTGGATAACACCCTTTTCACGTGTGTCCGGGTCAAGGCTCGAACCCTTGACATATTGGTGAGAGTTATGTGTGTCACCTTTGTACCACCAACAGTGACTAGTGAAATAGGGAGAAAGGTGGATTTTCTTATAGAGAGCAGCTCGTGGTCACTACACATTAGGGGCCCTTTTCCCTTCTCCTTTGTGTCTGAGATGGCCAAAAATACATATTTTTTTTTATAAAAATACTTATTTCCTATAAATAATTCATTTAGAATTTATTTTATTTGCATTACTTTTCATAAAGACTGTTCGGGGACACACACCCAGTCTGTCGCCAGACTGTCTGTTGTACTGTCTGTTGTCTTTGTGTTTGGGAGAGCAAGTAAGTCATATAAATAATTATCAGAATATTGATTCCACAAATAAATACATTCATAACATAATCATACCATTAGCATCTAGTAATAACTACACTACAATACAACTACAGTAGTACCCCGATTTACGCGGTCAATTGAACCCACAGGGTAACGCAGAAAGTGAAAACCGCGTTAAGTGAACAACAGAACATATGGGATTAATTCCAATAGAGACTGGCCTGATCCCCAAACTCCACTCTTTCCGACACAATACCTATGTTGTAGTAAAAATAACATCTTAATTTGATGATGGTATGCACACACAATTAATATTTAAGAGAAATACAGTCCCAGGTTAATGTCCATTCAAATAATGGACTCAATTCCCCCTCCCCCTCCTCTTCCCAGCTCACTGGCTCCTACCTCTCTGAGAAATGTTTGGGTGAAAACACTAGATTTTAAGGTATAGTAATAAATAATACCTCAGACTAAAGTTAGGATAATATAATTGACATTTCTTGATTCCTTGCAGGTCAGGGAATATTTTGAATGTAAACTTCATATATTTTGCACAAAAGATAAAATATTTGCTTTGTGTAAACCAAATTATTACATTAGATCTAAAATTTGTATGTCTAATGCAAAATCCATGATGTTTATATTCAAAATGATCATCATATTGTAAGAATTCCAGCAGTGTAAATTATATTCTGGCCGGGTAATTTGTATGGATTTTATGAGTTAAATAAAAAAAATTATACTTCACCCGCGTATATGAGTAGAAGCACCGCGTAAAATGAAATTCCGGTTCTTGCTAGGTACCGCGTAAATGTAGAATCGCGTTAAGTGAAATCGCTTAAATCGGGGTATTACTGTACAGTCAACCCTCACTTTACGCGGTTAATTCAACCCACAGGGTACCGCGGAAAGTGAGAAACGCGTAAAGTGAACAACATAACATATGGGATTAATTGAAATAGAGACCGGGCCGACCCCCAAACTCCACTTTTTGACGACACACAACTATGTTGTAGTAAAAATATTATCTTAACTTTATGATGGTATGCACACACAATTAATAATTAAGAGAAATATCAATAATATTTTTTGTTTTTAACACTTACATTAGTAGAAAAGATGGCTGGGCACACGGGGATGGGCAGTTGGTTCCGAGGCAGAGGGCAGATTATTGGCCCTCACCTGTATCACTTGTATCAATTGTATCACGATCCACCACAGAGGCTTGCAGGGCCTCTTTGTCAAACCCCTCAAAGTCCATATAAGTCCATATCCTCACTATAATTATCACTATCACTGACTTGGGCCGGCTGTAGTGGGTGGCGGGTGAAGAACTCGGTAATGTTTTGATGACTGGGCGACCTTGTGCGCGCCATGTTCGCGCCGCTTACACAACATGGCGGGAGAGATGGCGGGAGGTTTGGATCCAAAAATGGCGCGGCTCGCCAGCCGCTCTCCGCGTAAAGGGGTACACGCACCGCGGAATGTGAGCATTCCTGTTTCGGCAGCGTACCGCGTAAACGTGGAAACACGGAATGTGGGACCGCGTAAAGCGAGGGTTGACTGTATACTACTTTTAGTAATATTATTTTGATACAACCTGATAAAATGGACAAACAATGGAAAATAAAGAAACAAAAGAAGGTACTTACCAAGAAGTTTTCCTCCGACTGCTCGTAGGAGGATGTGAGGTGGTGGTGATAGGTGGTGGTGTTGGTGCTACCCTGACACCTAGCTAGCTGCCTGCCAGCGCCTGTGGGTAGAGACGAGTGAATGCAAACAGCTATGTATCTTTTCCAAGGAATATGTCACTTTGTTCCTTGCACTCTTATACTGTACAGTGGTCCCTCGGTTAACGAACACAAATCGTTCCAGAGGGTCGTTCGTTAACCGAAAATTTCGTTAACCTAATCCATTGTTCCAATGGGATATTGGGTAACTGGTTCCAGCTCACCGAAAAGTACATACAAAGTAAAAA